GTCGCGGCCGGCGCGCCATAGAGCATCCCATTTTCCACACCGAGTGACTCAGATAGGATCCACAAGTCGTAGGTCCGACCAGCCGTGAGATTAGGCAACTGCACGACCGCCGTCCACTCGGTATTCCCCTTGTTCACATCCATCACTGTTGCCGCCAGACTGCTGGCGTTATCAACCGAAACATGGAACACCTGGGATATTCTCGAGTCGATCTCCAGTGATACGTTGGTGACACCCTCGGTAGCTGTCACCGTCGTCTTGTATGTGACATAGTCTGTATCCAGCCCCGAGACCCTGAGATGCTCGACCGGCTCCCTCCCCTCCACTGTAGCCATACCGTGCAGCAGCTCCTCCTTCCTCATACTCCATCGGTCCGCTGTCAAGGTGGCCACCACTCTCCGTACCAACTCAGGCGGGGGCTCAACACTAGCCGTTGCGAAGAGGACCGTTGAACTTGATGGATCCACCACGAGGACTTCACGGCAGGCAATACTATAGGTCGCCTTGGCGTAGTGGACCTCTACCGGGGAACCACTACATGCTGGACGATGGAGGAAAGCGAGGCCAGCGGTCCACTCGTAAACTTCCACACCGTTTTCCAGTTGGACTGGCATCACCGAGTGGCGGTCCTCCACCTGCATGAGCTCCCCGTTCAACTTCCCGAGGACCTCATGCAAGCGCTGGAGATGCGACCTCTTAGGTTCATTCGGCAGCCCATTAGAATGGAAGTTCACCCCATCAGCATAAGCGTTGGTCAGCGAGGCCGCTCCCCATTGAGCCATATGGTTACCACCATACCACATGTAGTAGTTATGATGGCTACCTCCCACAGCCACCCATTTGGCTAAAACGTAGGCCATCTCCTCGGCTGACCTCTTCGAGTTTCCAACGGCCCCACCCCATGTATCAAACCAACCCTCGTTCTCAGTCCACCCCAGTGGCTCGTCAGGCCATTGCTTATCATGATCTGCCTTATACTCGGCCGCACAGTCGTCGCCATTACAGACATTCAATGTACCATTAGCAGACATTCCATTACACATTACCCAAGGCACGTCGAGGCCCAAGCCGAAGGACAGCTCCCCGACCCAGTCTATATACGCCCTACCAGCATCAGAGTGATGTCCATACTCGTTCTCCAGCTGCCCCAAAATGACTGGGCCCCCTTGGGCTGCCATCAGGTTAGCCTCTTTCACCATCCTGCCTATCTCCATCACGAAATCGGCCATGTATTTTCTCCACGGGTCGCAGCTCCGAAACTTCCCACCCTCCCATGGTTTGCATTTCCCAGGAGATCCATCGTAACCACAAATAGAGCGAAAACACATCCCCTCCACATCTCTCAGCCATAGGGGAAGGCCACCGAACGCCCATTCCGCACAAACATACGGTCCTATCCGAAGGCTCACGAAGAGATCCTTCTTAGCAGCAGCCCGGATGAACCCCAGTAGGTCCCCTCGTCCACTGAAATCGTACTTGTGCTCGAGTCGATCTTTGAGTTGATCATAGCGTGGCGGTCGTGGCTCGTGGTAG